TAAAAATGTTCTCTGATGATTTGCAAGTTTATTATTTTCTCAGTTTACTCTGTAATTTCAAACCACTAGCAGTATGTTGGATTATGGTCATCAAAACCCACATATCTAGAATTTATGTGTAATACACTGTTGGATGGGACATACAGGTTTGTATGGCACACGGCAATCAAAGCGCTGTATGGAATGGTAAATAACACAACACAGAAAGCAAAAAAATTTAAAAAAATCCACTATTGAAAAAATGTAAGCTAAAGCAATGACTAGAGTTCACGCATGTTTATCATTGACTGTGCTGTTCTCAAAAGAATTTTGCTATGGATCTCCTATTGCTTTACAAGTAAACTTTTGCTGGGCTAATCCACTGCTCGCAGAGTCTGTGGAAATGTAGGGATGGCAGCACTTCAGAAGAACACCTACTCCAAGCCCAGTGCACCATCACAAGATGAAGAAAAGTTATTATCATGTGCCACAGATATTCATCTAACCTGTTCTTAAAAATTTCCATAGCTTCCATTACATCTTTATAAAAGAATGTCCACATTTTCTTTCAACTTTCAGATTCATTGGACTCAGTGAAAAAGTCTCCTTTTTTTAATAACTAACCTAGTTACTCTTGGTATAAATTAAATTTACCACTCCTACTCTTTCTTCAGTGGGCACTGGAATACAATTGATCATAGTCTTCTGTACAACAACATTTTATGTATTAGAAGACTTATGTCTCCCCTTTAGCACTTTCTAGACTAAACAAAGGCAGTTTCTTTAAGCCTTCCTCACAGGTCATGTTCTCTAAAACTCCTATCATCCTTGTTGCTCTCCTTCTGTCCCTTTCTAATTTGTCTATCTTAAAGCATGGTGCTCAAGATTGTATACAGCTTTTCAGATGAGGTCTCACCAGTGCTCAAAGAAACAGAGTAATTGCTTCCTGCTTCTTTTCCAGTATTACATCCATTCCAGAATGAGATCCAACTTCATTGCAATGGTATTCCATTGTGCAATCCAGATTCTTTTTTCTATGCTATTGCCTCATTGGAACATGTGACTTCTCCTTTGTAAATGGACTCATCTTTACTGAACTTCAGATTACTTATTCCAGGCTTTCTGTCCAGTTTATTGAGATTGGAGCAGCTTATTGAGCAGTTTAACTGCTCCTACCATGCCTGCAGCTTCTTGCAGCTTGGTTCATTATCAACAATATTAATGGTTTTTTTTCCTATTTCATCACTGAAATAATTTCTAAAAAAGTACTCCACAGAAGCAGATCAAGGACAAACCTCTTTCAAACCCTGCAGTAAATGTCCCTCCTGTCTGATAATGAGTAATGGAAAATTTTTGTGTAGTATGTTATCAGTTGCACACCCATCTCGTGGTGATTTCATAATTAATTAAATTAAAATAGTACTATTTATAGTTACACCACTTATTACTGTAATGCATTTTACATTACATGTTAATTACATTACAAATTAATGTATTTATTTGTATATTACAAATATATGGTGGGACAGTGTTAAAGGCCTTATGAATTCAAACTATGTCACAGCTACCACTTCCCTTCAGCCACGAAGCCAGTTATCCTATCAAAGGAAATTAGATTTGCTTGACATAATTTGTCCTTGACAAATACAGGCAGACTAAATATAGGATGGGTACGCTATGTAACAGCCATCTAGACATGCATTCTGTTTTAGAGAGTGGCCCAAAACCATCACCTAGGAAAG